TGGAATGCTGTAAGTTTCTTTATACGACAGTTTATACAGATAGGTTTGGATATTAATGTATATTTTGATGAAATTAATGTTTTAGTGAGAGCAATGCACTTTATTAATGTGAACATGCTTCTATCTGTTGAGATGGTGTTTATTTTCTGTCATTTCAGTTTTCACCACATGTTCATGAAGACAGTTAAACAAGCTGCAACTAAACTCCAAGATCTTCATTTGTGGTTTAACTCTGTGTCACCAACATCCTTGTTGAAAACACTACAGCTACAGTTCCACAAGTACTGAAAGTGCTTTGCTTAAAAGAGAGACCTGGCATCTGTGCATCAGTACTACAAACACTGTATGTGATAATACAGAAAACAAAAGGCACAAAGGACTGGCACGTCAACTTTTTAGAGAACTTATGCAGAACAGTTGCCCCTTTTGCAAATGAGCAGCACTCCACTGAGATCAGTGAGATTCTGTCAGTTGAACAGGTAGCTAATATTTTCAAATCAGTGATAACTTCAGTGCCTGAGGACATACTGACATCTGTAGAAATGATAATTTTTGAAGCGCTGAAAAAGGTGGTGAGAAATGTGAAAGAATATCTAACCAAACCAAACTCAGAATGTAAGGGAAACGCAGTCTCAACTTTAGGCAAGAAGAAGAAAAAGAAGAAGAAGAAAAAGACAGAAAAGCAAGAAGACCTAAATGATAAAGTTTCCACTGCAACAACTGATCCAACAGCAAAGGTTCCTGTTTTAGAATCAACTTCAAATCGAAAGCCTTTTGACTACAAGACCAATAAAAAGTCAGAAAAACAAAACTGGCTTTCAATCAGCAAGAGGTGGAAGGAGGAAGTGGAGAAACTCGCTGGCACAGATGACAGTAAAATATCCAGAATCAAAGGCATTCTTTATGTGAATAATGCAGACTTCAGAATAGCGAAGGGAAGCGATGGTACTGAAGTCTTCTTGGGGCTGAGAGAGGACGGCACAGAAGTTGCCATTAAGAGAATGTCTAAAAGCAACTATGAAGTGCTGAAGAACGAAGAAGGAATCCTACGACTCCCTGAACTCGATCATCCTTATATCGTACGATATGTTGATGCTGCAGAGGATGAGAACTTTGGATATCTTTGTCTGAAACTTTGTGAATACACCCTGGAAGAATATATCAAGAATGAACGTGACCCACTGATATTAAAGAAACTTGTCAAACAAGTTCTTGAAAGTCTAAAGGTGCTTCACTGTGGAAATCCTAAAATTCTTCACCGAGATCTCAAACCCCAGAACGTTTTGATTGGTAAGACATGTTTGAAATTCAGAGAAAAACTAAACAAAACATATGTCTGGTAAATATAAATTAATGATTTGGTTTCATGAGTTTTGAATGTCATTCCTCCTGCAGATGTTACTGGGAGGGCAAGATTAGCTGATTTCAGCATAAGCAGACGCTTACCCGAAGACCAAACAACTCTACGTACACGCAGGGCAGGAACCAGATGCTGGATGGCCCGAGAGACTTTAGCAGAAGAATCTGTGATATCATACAAGTCAAGCACAGACATCCAGGTAATACAGGTCCATAAAAACTTGATTGACTGAAAGATGCCTTGGTAAAAATACCTAAACTGATGTGTTACTGTTAAGGTGGCAGGCATGCTGATCTATTATATCCTCTCTGGAGGCCACCATCCATTTGCTGACTTGGACTTTAAATCCTTTAAATGTGAGTCAAACATTTATGATGGGAAGTACAGTTTGGATCATGTTCAAGATGTGGTGGCAAAGGATCTCATTGAGTGGATGATCAACAAAGAACCGAAGGACAGACCCAAAGTAGAAGAATGCTTAAACCATCCCTTCTTCTGGACTCCGAAAGAGTAAGGAAGTCATGCTGTAACATAATCTGTGATTTCTAGTTTCACTTTATTAAATTAGGAATAGATTTGCTAATGAGAGCCTAAACTGTGAAGGGTTTTCAATCATTTTCCAAGACAAAGAGGAAAAAGTTTTCAGTCTATTGCTAGGCTTAATCCATATGTTGGGAAAATAAGGTCAAACTGTCTTGTACTCAGACAGGCATGTTAACATTGGGAGCAAATACTAAATTCTTTTCCTACACTTCTGTTCTTGTATTTCTAAGCAAGACTCTTTTGTGCCGCTCCTGTTATTATTCAACATTTTCTTCTTAGTTTTTTTTGTTGTTGTTGTACTTATAAAGCATAATTTCAACTTTATTTCCAGGAAGTTTGAATATTTGAGAGAGACCGGCAACAGAGAGGAGGTGGAAAACTGTCGAAAGGCTGATGAAAAGCTGATTGCTTCACTAGAAGCATGTGCTAATGGATCCTTCAAACTGTGGAAAGAAAAGGTGATTTACAGATGATGGGTCAAACTTATGTATTTCTAAGGCTACGTTCACACTGCAGGTCTTAATGCTCAATTCCGATTTTTTGATCAAATCTGATTTTTTTGT